ATAGATAGATAGATAGATAGATAGATAGATAGATAGATAGATAGATAGATAGATACTTTTTCCTGGCGCAGCTATTTGTGTCACTGCACGGCGGAATCAGGCACTCGTCAGTTCTTGGACATACGGAGTTATTGGTTACACTTTTAAAGTTTGTTCATTTTGTCTTTCTTTGTCCTATTTTTCAGAAATAGACGTTAAGATGTTTGCGATTGAAAGTGGTGACGTTCACCTAGTATCTGAGGAGAAATTAACGAGATAACTTCCATTAAAGTTTGATGAACTCAAACAAAAGCTAGAGAGTCCTTTGAAAGGTCAATTTTAAATAAGGGGGGGGGGGGGGTGTGGTAACTTTGATCAACGTTTTTTTTCCGTTTAAAAAATCGTCTTAGAAATGTGTTTTTAAATGGACAAGAGGGTGTTTAGACAACAAACAAACAAAAACTACGAAAAACAAACGAACAAATGAAGTCTATTCGAATTGATCAACGGATTGAAAAATTCTCGGTTTCTTCAATTGTTGTTCGTGTTTCAGTTTGGCGCCAACAACACACCTACACCACATATATGGGTATATGTATACCCTCAGATACCATGTTAAATAGCTCACTAAACTTCCAACAACACACCTACACCACGTATACGTATACCTTCTATGGTCTCCGGTACCACTATTATATATAGCAAACTGAACTACCAACAACACACCTACACCAGGTATACGCATACCCTCTATAGTCTGTGGTACCATGTTATACAGCTCACTAAACTTCCAACAACACACCTACACCAGGTATACATGTACTCCCCTCTATAGTCTCTGCTACCATTATAATAGCTGACTGAACCACCAACAACACACCTACACCACGTATACTCATACCCTCTATAGTCTCTGGTACCACTATTATATATAACTCACTGAACTACCAAAAACACACCTACACCACGTATAGTATATGTATACCTTCTATGGTCTCGGGTACCACTATAGCTCACTGAACCACCAATAAGTTACGCCCCACATCACAGGAACCTTGTGTCAGGTTACATCATAATGACACACTTCACCAACAACCCACGATCGAGGGGTGTTCAATACGTCACAGTCCTGACTATGAAAGAGGAGAGCTAGATACTTTAAATTTGACCCAAATAATGCTATTTTTCTACAATGTCATCCTGCAAGTTGATATAATTTTGCCTTTTTATTTTGTTTTACCTATAGAAGTCCTTGAGCATAAAATTATTTCATCAGATGGCTCTCAAACTCTTCACCGACAGGCATAAAATAGCGTCTTCATCACTATGGAAACGTTGTTGATTGGAATTGTGTGGGTTTTTTAAATCAGATTTGGGGAAAGAAAAAAATGACAGAGGGTGAATTGGGTGGGGAGAGGGGGAGAGAATTTCGCGGTCATTTTGCTTTGCTGTCTGAGTTGCTTTCACTGCTTCTGCGCACTGGAGCAGTATCGTGCAGCAAAAGAATTTTTTTTGTTCACAGCATCCATTGTATTCAAGAACTGCTTTCACTAAAAGTGCTCTTAAGTTCGAAATGCTCATCGGAAGTTTCCAAAACTCCACACGCAGCGTTCCAGAAAGATGGAAATGATTGCAAGTGTCATTGTTTTACAACAATCCATCGCCAGGGTAAAGATTTATTGAACGCCTCTCGTGTGACCTCCACAGCACTTACGGGTCACAAACCACACGATTTTATACAACTTTCTTTCAGATAGTATTTTTTAAATGGTATATTTTTAAGCTTGTAGCTTTATTGTGCCTCTTTTTTTTCTTTGTGCGTTTGTGTGTTTGTGTGTGTTTGTGTGTGTTTGTGTCTGTGGGTGAGTGTGTTTGTGTGTGTGTGTTTAAGTGAGTGGGAGAGAGAGAGAAGTAGATAGATAGATAGATAGATAGATAGATAGATAGATAGATAGATAGATAGATAGATAGATAGATAGATAGATAGATAGATAGATAGACAGCGAGAGAAGGGGGGT